TCGGCGTGCCGGGTGTCTTTACAGCCTAATACCATAAAGTACCCTTATATGTGTGTGTGTGTGTGTGTATGGGGGGATTCTGGTCAGGGTCCCCACTGCATTGAGCTTCAGGTATGGGATTGAGCTGGGGGACAGATTCAGATCATTTTGGGGGATTCTGACCACATCAGGCCTGCGGTCCTCGTTAAGCCCCATCGATCCACGCTGTGACATTTCGCTGCAGATGCGCACTCGCACACATGCACACTGACACGGCTGCTCTTTCTCTGTCTTCCTCCATCACTCTTCTAATTTGTCTGGGATTGTCGAGAGCAAAGCTCACCATGCATGGGCAGACACACACACACAGATACTTGTATATGTGGTTTACGGGGACTGTCCACAGGCATAATGATAAACTATATTTTCTATACCCTAACACTACGCCTCACAGGCAACTACTTGCATTTTTTATTGTTAAGTAATTTTTTAAGCCATTTGGTTTATATATGTGTGTGTGTGTGTGTGTGTGTGTATCAGGGTTATTTTAGTTAACTAAAACTGAAACCATTTAAAAACATTTTCATTACTTGAATACACACACACACAAATACTTGTATATGTGGTTTACGGGGACTGTCCACAGGCATAATGATAAACTATATTTTCTATACCCTAACACTACGCCTCACAGGCAACTACTTGCATTTTTTATTGTTAAGTAATTTTTTAAGCCATTTGGTTTATATATATGTGTGTGTGTGTGTGTGTATCAGGGTTATTTTAGTTAACTAAAACTGAAACCATTTAAAAACATTTTCATTACTTGAAATAAATAAATAAACATTAACTTAAAATAAAATATTTAAAAAACTTTATTTTAGCTATTTGCCAAGGCAACATTTCTCATTTTAATTTCATTTAACTTTATATACTAAAATAACTGAAATAAGAATATATAGATATATATAAAAAAATTCAAAAACTACTAAAAATGACAAAAACAGCAAAATTATTAAAACTTTAAAATAAAAAACTGATTCTAAATTCTTTTAAAAACTATGATAGTTTCTCAATGATTCTAAAATAACACAGCTATATATATATATATATATATATATATATATATATATATATTTATTTTTATAATATATA